ACAGCCACCACAAGGAAGAACAACGACAAAGCGATAATTCCTACTTTTTTTTTTTCAAAACAAAATTAAAAATCAGGAATTATTAGGGAAGAAAAAAAAATCGTACGCGCGAAGAGTTATTTTGGGGGTACCGAAAGCGGAGGAGAGTGGCGGCGCGTGATTCATACCTGCTGTTGTTCGTGTTGGCGCCGGAGGTAGGTTAAGACTATTACCATAACGCGAGCCAACTTCATCCTCGAATCGAGGCGGCGAAGAAGCTCGGCTTGCTTGGCTCGGACTCGCTCCAGCAACGCCGCCGCCTCCGCCAGGAGCTCCCTCAGCAAAACCAGGTTTTCCTCCGTAACCGGTGGGGTTCCGATGATCTCGTCTTTCGACGGCAGCTGCTCCCTGATGTAGCACATGGTTTCGATTTCTGGCTTCTTTTGGTTGTACCTTTGATTTTGTTTTTTTTAATTTAGAGAGCTGAAGGAATTGGTTTTTAATTGGTACAAGTATATTAGTAGGGTTGAAATTTGGAATTAAATTTCTAATTTTAGCCGCTTCTCATTCGCTAAATTCCGATTTTGGTATAATTTTTTTTGTTTCGATTTTCAATCCGATTTTTCCTAGAAATGGTATTTATTAATTGCAAAATTAACTATTTTTGCATTTATTTCACTTCTTACGAGTTTTGTTGTAGAGTTCAGAGTCTATACATATTTTTCCTCTTTAAAAAAAATATATCTACGAACAACTTTATTTTGGTTACATGCTCGGATGTAGCTAGACGATTGGCTATTTTATTCTCATTCCTTTTGCCGAAAGAGAACGAACAATTGCCAAAAAGAAAAAAATAATGACCCTATGCACTCTTCTATCAAAGCACCATATATTGAGAAATTATTTTCAGTGCAACTAAGTGCGTCGATCACTTTAGTGCAGCTTCCTTCGAAAATGACAATGGTCCATGCCTTCTATATGACCGTCATGTGCATGTAAAGTTGCCCTAGCTTCGCTCGTTAACCGTTCTTGAATATTTTGAAAATTGTCGTCGATTCCACCAAACACAATCCCCATTCGAATCTAATTCAAATCTAATTCAAATCTAGCTTGCTATCACTGCGACTTTCTAGAAACTTTCACCAATGGGAAATGCTGCATCAAAACTTTGATGTTTAGCGTCAGTTTCTTTTTCTCTGCCCTTTGTCTTCTTGTCATTCACGAAAATTTCAAAACATTTTGAAAATTTTGGAATTACTTATGTGATTTTCGAAACTTTTGGGCAATGTTTGGAAGCGTTTTGGAACTTATTTTGATTTCATTTTGAGGAAATATGTTTTTGGGGAAGAATTTGAGAATGAAAGCAATGTTTGTTTATATTTTGGAAGGAGACAAAATACACTGTAGAAGTCAAATCATGTTTAAAGGTGTTAGAAAAAAGTATTTTAGAATAAAAAAATTGAAAGATGAAGTGATGTTTATCTATTTTTTAGTGAAGACATATTTTACTGTAGCAGTCAAATCATTTTACTGTAGGAGTCACATCATGTCTGAAGGAGAGATAAACTTTTGAAATTGTTTTGAGAAAATGATTTGAAAAGTTTAATAAATCCCATTTTGTTTTGGGGAATCAATAAAAACAAAAATATAAATGGTTCCAAACATTGCCCAATCATAATAGATTTCTAGATTCTGAACTTTTTAGAATTAGAATTCGAAACAATTTTGTACTTTTGAAAAAAAATAGTTCAATTAATTAGCTTCTAATTAATTGGGATAAATACCACACACCTTTTGTTTTTATAATAATTCAATTAGTTCGAACTTTCATTTTTTTTTTAATTGGAAAATATAGGATATTATTAAGCAAGTCAGAATAGCCGGAATAATTGTTCATTCCTTACATGAGTGTTCATATCTAGTGACAATAGCATGGACCAACATATTGGCTGAGCGTTTAACAAATTCAAAACGACAATTATTGAAATGAAGAGACAAAACCAAGCCTTCTTCTATAAAAACCCCATACGGAAGAGTGTCCGAGTTCCGAGTTTGAAAAGCCGTAATCACTTGTAAGTTAACCCCTTCAAACACAATGTCCTCCCAACCTTTCTCCTCTGCTGTGATAATGGCACTAAGCATCGCATGGGCTTCACCATCTACCACCGTCGATCGGCCACAAGGGTCGTTACATGGTAATCCTTATCGACTGGAAAAGCCACATTTACGTTAATTTTCACCGAACTTTGATCCGGCGATTTCCACATCGTCGGATGATGGCGATTGTGGGAAGAACTGGCAGAGTTTGGCTCACCGTATAAATATCAAGATAAATTCTACACCAATCTTGGATATTGGTCGTGGGGATGCCTTCTTCTCCATGAATTTCCTTGTTCCTCTTCTCCCAAATCTTCCATGTAATTACCAAGGCCAGGTTCAAGGATTCCTTATCGAGGTGTTTTTGTAGTTTTTTGACCCACTGCCAAGTAGACAATCCTAAAGCCCGATGATTTTTTATTATCTTGAAATCCCACCATATATTATCCACTCCTCCACATTCCATAATTACATGCATCGCTATTTCTTCTGTCCTTCCACATCTCCGGCATCATGGGACTGTCGCAATTCTCTGTCGAAATAGTAGAGACGACGTAGGTAAAATGTTTGAATTCCAGCGCCAAACAAGAAAATTTAACCTTTGGTGGGAGAGATAACTTCCAAATCCACTTCTAGTTTGATTTAACTTCCCCACTACTCAATGTACCGTCTCTTGTGTGGTCAGATTGCCATGAAATAACATGATGATAGCAAGAATGGACCTGAAATTGCCGTGATTTGTGAAATGCCACTTTCATTGACATATAGCCAAATAATTAGCTTATATTTTTTATTTTACCATTTTCAAACCATAAGTAGGGACTTTTGTTTCTCTTTATATAATTAGAGAATGTTTGGCTAAGCTTATAAGATGTTAAAAAGAGCTTATAAGATGTTTTAAAGCTTATAAGTTTTTTCAAAGTGTTTGGTAAATTTAAAAAAAAAAATCTTATTTTTTCAAAAAATCAGCTGCTGGAGAGCAAATAAGGTCTTTTTAAAAAAATACCTATACCCCATATTTTCATTGAAGTTCTTATAATGAGTAAAAATAGGAAATAAGCTTATATCCAAACACTCTAAAAATTAATTCTAAAAATAAGATGTAGCAGCTTATCAGCTCTTAAAACATCTTATCAGACGTAACAACTTATCAGCTGTTTAAAGTAAGCTTAGCCAAACTTTTTAATTAAGTAATTTATTATTTATTTTAAGGCTGGGCATGGGTCGGTTTTATCGATCAACCAATCCACTTTCGACCTGCTTCTTTCAGCCGATAATTTTATTGTCGGACCGCTAATTTTAACCGACCCATATATAAATAGGTCGGTCGGTGGTTTTCAGTTTACTCAAAAGTCGGTTGTTCGATATTATCTGCCTATCGAATTTTGTAATAATATTTTTATAAATATTTAATTGTAATTTTTATTTTTTTAATGTTTAAAATAATATATAAAAGACGTTAAAACTCAAAACACAAATTTAAAAACTTTTCCGTACTATCTATATTTTATAATTCTTATTTCATATTCTTCATTATATATTTACTTATTGTAAAAGTTTAATAAAAAAAACTCTCACTTTAAAGTTAAGATTTTTACAACATAAATTTTTCCCAAAATTTTGAATACCTTTTCAAAAAACTTTTTAAAATTCATATTATTTCAAAAACTAAAAAAGAAAACAAAAAAAAAAAAAAAAACCAAAAAAAATAAAATAAATAAATAGATGGCCGATAATACCAATCAACCACCCATTATTTACCCGTCGGTGGTCAACCATTATCCGACCCATAGTGGTCAGGTCAATAATGGTTTTCAATTTCCGCAAAATCGGGTGGTCGGGTCGGGTAGGTCATTGGCCGATAATTATCCAAACTGACCCACGCCCAGCCTAATTTATTTAATTGTCTTTTTATTTATTAAAAAGAAATCGTCGACCACAGCGACGTGCCGTTCGATACGAGAGTCGCAAATCACACTAGGCTAACCATGTATGAGAGATCGGTGATAAAGAAATTTCAACCTAAAACAATTACAGTTAAACCTCTATAAATTAATACAGTTGGGACCGTCAAAATTTCATTAATTTAGCGAAATATTAACTTATCGATAAATTAATAATTATTAATTTATACATTTATATATATATATATATATATATATATATATATATATATATATATATATATATATATATATATATATATATATATATATATATATATATATATATATATATATATATATATATATATATATATATATATATATATATATTTTTTAATTTTTACTTGTATATTATTCATTGTACCATTAGTTCAATGCACTATAGAGCCCGTTTCACAAATGGAAACTCTTAAAGCAGCAATGGTATAGAACGGTTTTATATAGAGTTATGAGAAAACTATACCGAAAGTTCTAACCATATTAAGAAAAGTGAGGGACGAGATTGATTGTAATGTGAAATTCAACAAGAAACAAGCGACAATTAAATTATATTGTATTAAGCCTTTATAGATCTATAAAATATGTACTGTACCATGCAATATAACAATTATTTTATTGCATTTAATTTATATAATATATGGGGCTTCTTAAAATTTTCGAATGTGTATTATCTTATAAATTTAGCGAATTATCAATTTAGCACGTTGTCCCCAAGTCGGGGACCGGAAAAATTTAATATTTAAGTGAGGTTATTAATTTATCGCGTATTAATTTATCGAGGTTCTACTGTAGTCTGTAGACTGTAATACAATTTCTTTTTCTCCAACTCTAAATCTAAATTGTTCTTTGATTGAAGAAAGTAAGCAATAACTTTTTTGAATTAAAGAGCGGGTAAATTGCATTTCACCCCTCATGAAACTCAATTACGAATGTAATCCATGAAAAATCACACTTAATTAATTACACAAAACAAAGAAGAAGAAGAAGAAGAAGCAATTCTCTACAATCTACAGGAATCTCAGCTCACAATCAAGCTATCCCTGCTTCAGAAGAAGAAGAAGAAAAAATGTCGATTTTTTACAGAAAAAGATTCGATTCGATTCAGAGCAAGCATCAATTGATTTTGGAGAGACGAATTCCAGCTTTGAGTATCTGGTACCTTCTACTCGGATGCATACACGCGAATATCGACTGCTTCGGTTTCTTCACCTTCGTCCCGAACAAAAACGACCGCAGCGGAACCCTAGGCCGGCTCAAATTCTCCGACTGTCCGCCGCCGGAGATCCCGAACTCCTCGTCCAGACTCCTCAGCGTCTTCTCGATATCCACCTGCAGCACCCGCGCGTGGTCCAGACCCGCCTGCAGCTCCTCCCTCACCTTGCTGTTCTCCTGCTTCATGCTCAGCGTCTCCCCCTGAAACTTCGCCGCCTGGTGGCTGCTGAACCCGATCGCGTCCCCCTCCACCCCCTCCCTCAGCGCCGCCGCGATCTCCTCCTGGATCCCGCACAGCGACGAGTTCCGCCGCTTCAGCTCGTCCTTCAGCGACGCGCTCTGATCCAGCCACGCGCCGAGCTCCCTCTGTATCTCCCGCAGGTGCTTGTAAACGGGCCGGGCCTCCGATTTCGCCTGGGCCGCCATGGATCCGTCGGGCTTCCTCTTCTCCCTGATCTTCGAGATCTCGTCCTGCAGATCCTGCGCCTCCGTTTTGAACTTTTGTATTTGATGAAATGCCGAGCTGAACCTCAACCAGAAATCCAGGTTTTCGTCCAGAATCGCATCGATATCGGTTCGTAACTTCTCCTCAACCCTAGAAATCGACGGCGTTCTGTCGATGAAAATCAATTTAATCTCTTCTTCATCATCTTCATTTGCAACTGGATTGTTATGTTCATTCATTAAATTAATATCTCCTCCTCCCTGAAAGTTTAACCTCTGTTTCAGGTTCTGAATTTCTTCGTCTTTTCTCGACATGCCTCGTTTCAGATCTCGGATTTGCAGCACCGTGTCGAATTGGCTGTCTTTCTCCTTCTTCTCCATATCTGTAAGCTTCTTCTTAACCTCTTTATAATTCCTTAGAATTGTTGTGTACTCTTTCAGTAGAACCTTCTCTTTATCCTCCATTCCACTTAAGAGCATCATTTGCCAGTTTACGTCGTCCTCTTTCTCCGCGTTCGTCGCCTCCTTCGGTTTTCTATCCATAAACGTAATCGATTTTCTGAACCCTCTTTGAACCATTCCTTGTTCAGGCACAGATAAATCACAAACCTTGACGTTTTTATCCACTTCCTTCACTTCCTCGGTCGCCTCTGTTTTCAAAACGGCACCCGGTTTTTTATCACTCGCGCTTAAAATTTGCACATCTTCTTTAGCTTTGATAACCTCCTCTATCTCTTCGTCCGGCTTTACGCTAGTTAGTTTTTCAGACAAGCGGTCGAGATTCGAACGAGCCTCGGCAAAGTTCGTTTGCAGATTACTGCTTCGGCTTTCGACGTTCTTGTTCAAATCTTGAATCTTGTTCAATCTGCCTTCCATTTCCCTCACCCTCGTGCTTAATACCTGCGTATCGTCCACAAGATTCTCCTTCTCCTCCTCCAAATTCCGAATCTGGTTGTTCAAATCGTCGGTTTCCGTCTTCAACGTGCTGACAAGAACTGTCTGTGACGAGACAGCAGTTTCCAAACCGATCACCTTATTGACCAACTGATCGATCTTCTCCGCCAACTGGGACACGGACAAAGGGGCGTTCGAGCCCAAATCGCAGCTTTCTTGAGCTGGCCCGTTTAGACCCTCGATCTCCTTCGTTTCTAGAATCAACTCGATCACGTCTTTCTGCGATTCGTTGTTTTCGACGTAGGTTGTTTGTTGTTGTTCTTGCATGTACTTCTGCTTGAGCGTCTGCAAACGCTGACATGCAGCTTCGATCCGCTTGTACTCCTCTTTCGCCTCTCTAGTCGACTTCTCTTGTTTCTCTTGCAGCAGAATTAAGGTTTCTTGACATGATTTAAGCGCCGCCTCAGCCATTAATCTCCTAGCTTCATCGTCTTCAATAACCACATCCATATCGAATTCGTCTTGGAGTTTCGACACCTTCTTCTGCATTTCCGTAATTTGGCTCTCGATCCCCCAATATTTCGCCACCCCGTTTTCGTACGAGCTTTTAACGAACTCTTTAACCGTCTGCAATGCTAGAATATCCTTTTGAATCTTGTTGATTTCTTCAAGCGCTTCTTCTTTAGTCAAACCCGATTTCTGCTCGCTCTCCGCTGCTTTCTTTTTGTCTTTGATCTCCTTCGAAGCTTTGGCTATGATTCTTTTTAGATTTTTATTCGGGGCTTTCTTGGGAACTTCCGGAATCTGCTGGGTTTTTGAGGGAATAATATTTGGTGGAGGGGGACCCACGTAATCTTCGTCTACCTCGGAAATATCGAACTGGACTTGTTCGGGAAATACAGTTGCGATTGTGTGATTGGCGTTTTGTAATTCTTTGGATAGAAGATCGTATCTATCTGCCAAGGCTCGAAAAGCTTTGTAAGCTTCTTCGACTGAGAGTATAAGCTCGGGCCTTCTCTTGTAGTACATTTCGGCTCTCTTGGCGAACGAGTCTCCGTCTTCTTGAATTAGTGTGAGCATGCTTTTCACTTTGTCTTCCATATCTATACATGCGAAAAGAGTTTGTAGTTTCATAAAATATAGTCCTTGAATATGTCGAATTTTCCGATGATTTATCATTTATCATGCAAGTTGCATCTATACTCATCCAATCAAAAAACATATATTTAGTACAAACACATGAAATTCATTAACTTTGTCAACATAAATGACCATTTCTCACAAATCAAGAAACACGAGCAATGATTCGTTTTCGTGGCAAAATTGGTTTAACTACGTATTATTATCGGTTAAAGCAACAAAGGAAAATGAAGATTCTATATCACCAAGACTGCAGAACAATGATCAAGTAAAAGTTTTTGCACAATATCAGCAAATGCACTATGTATTCTGCAATTTTTTCGCCTTTTCCTCGTGTTTTACGAAACTTAGTAATAGAAATTTCAGGCTAAAGAATCTACGATAAATAACGCCGTGAATCAATGGCGTAAAAGATACATTCTCAACTAAATAAACGATATGAAAGATCAAATGTGAACTGGCAAAAATCCCGACGAAATGATTTAACACATAAAAAACCTGAAAAATAATCAACCAAAATCTCTTACAGCAAGCAATGTAATGAAAAAGAAGAAGACAATATTAAAGTACCTTGAAGGCTCTGTTCGAGCCATTTCGACTGCTTCGTCCGAATGTGGCTAGCCCACCACCACGAATATGCATTGCTTGCAGCTCTCTGCAACATTTTTTTCAAAATCTGATTGTTTCAAACTCTTCTTCTTTCTTTCGTTTTCGTTTTCGGGTTGTTGTTCTTGTTGCGGTTTCGATAACCGAAACAAATCAATGGCCCGGCCCGAAAAACCTTCTCTCCCCTTCTAACACAAATTCAGCAGAGATCAAGAATTGAACAAGAAAGAGAAGGGGTTTCCATCATATTTGAAAGGGTTTTTTTCGTTTCTTTTTATTGTATTATTTTCTCATTGCCATTAGTGGGATAAGAATGAAAAAAAAGAAATGAAATCACAATCTAAGTCGATATTGTGTGGAATTAATAGGCTAAGAGGTTTTTCCGGTCCTAATTTAGAAAGTAGCCAACCAATATATTGTATATCTCTCTTTACTTGTTTTCAAAATTAAAAATTAAAAAATTAAATATGTATCTAACTTTACTAGTTTACTAAATGAACGTGGCGTCCACTGGCTTTTTGCACAGCTTGGCAAGATACCTAAAGCAAAAGGCTGGCAATCTTTATTTTACCTTTACACCCTTCTTCCTCCAATTTAATTTTTTTATAATTCTCCCAAAAATTTTTAGATTCCATTTCTAATAGTACCATCATTATCACCTCAATTTGACATGTGTAGCGTTGCTCATATATAATCAAAATTCACCAAGAGTTATGTTTTAATATAAATCTAGTTTCTAAAAAGCGGTTATCGGGTTTGAGATGGTTAGTGACCGTCACATGATAAATCGGTGTGGCGATGAGTGTAATATATTTGTCAATACTCGAAACATATATTAAAAAATATTTAAACATGATATATATTGATATATATATATATATATATATATATATATATATATATATATATATATATATATATATATATATATATATATATATATATATATATATATATATATATATATATATATATATATATATATATATATATATATATATATATATATATATATATATATATATATTAAAAAGGGTTTATTAGGGATAACCCCATTGTTCATATTTTCTAATGAGGTAGATCAAATATTTTTTCCCTTTTTGATATACACCCAAATATGCCAACTTGGCACAATATATTATTTAATTTCCCTTTAATACCCCTGCTTTATTTTTGAACGGCATTTATTTCCTTAACTACGTGATATGAGATTACTGATTCGTTGCCTAAAATCACGGTATAAAATTACGTGAGTATATTGGTGGTTTCATCGGTTTCATCTGCACTTGCGCCGCCACCAGCACCTCCACCGCCACCACCTCCGCCTTCAAGATCGTCACCTCCACCTAGACCTCGACCGGCACCACCTCCGCCTCCAAGGGTGTGACACTCGATTTAGGAGTGAAGCCAAGTAACTTAAATGGCCAATATCGTTGTTATCGTTGTTGGCCACCGACGGCCGCCCCCGTCAATTCTCAGATATAGGGTTTTGATGATTTTTCGGCCCATAGTCGATGAGCGAGATTCATAGTCGAATTAGATCTAAGGGATAGTATATTAAATGATATGGGATAGTCTATTAATATTAAAACACAAATCCTCCAC